CCCACAAGTCTCCTAAAGAGTGATAATAAGAGCAAAGAGTGATAATAAGAGCAAAGAAGAAAAAAAAATCCACTGACCTGGGCTGAAACTGACTGGACTCTTGCCTGCACCACCGCAGTCCACCACAGTCTCTAGATATAATGGGGAAGGTGAGTGATGAGAACTCAGGAGTTCTGTGTTCCGGCTGTAAACTTGCAGGCCCCCCTGAGCCTTGTGAGACCCCAGTGCCTCATGGGAATCTGCCTTCCCCACAGCCATACTCTGCCATGGGGTGGTACAGGAAAGAAGCTTTCAGCAGCACCAGCCACCATTTCTGAGGAATTCAATCCTTGCAGGGTAGAGTGACTGCTTTCCAGCCAGCTTGAGAAGGAATGGACCCCAAGGGCAAACTCCACAGCTGCAAACAGTTCCTGGCTGGGCGGGTTGCCTGAGAACATCTGAGGCCCTAAACTGAGCTCAATCCTTGCAGGAGCTCAACCCTTGTAGGGTGGAGCAGCTGCTTTCTAGCCAGCATGGTTGGGCAGGTAGCCTGAGAACACCTGAGACCCTAAAGCCAGCTGCACCTTGACGTTCAGATCATAGATTACCTGAGGCCAAGGCAGGAGTGGAGTAGGATACATTAGCATAGCAACCTCTCACTCCCCTTGTGAACTCTTCTGTGCCTGTTCTGCACAACACCTGAGACTTCCTCCTAATCCCAACTGGGGTAGTTCAGAGTGCATACTTGTGGTGTGCTTCAGTTCCTCTTCCCTGCACTCGCCTCGAAGGCTCAAAATAGAGAGAACTTGGTATACTCCCAGAACCCCACCCTCTGCCTAGGTTGGCTGGGCACTTACTTGGAACAACACTTGCCGAGGAGAAACCCTACAACTACCATCACAGCTGGCTTTCTTCCACAAGCACTACCTCATAGCCAGAAACCACTAGTACAGCCCACAAATCAGATACAATACCTCAGCTTTGGGGAAGGTCTGATCCCGAATGCCAACTAACAACACTTTCCAAGTTACTCTAGTTATTCAGGACTCTGTGAACCAGAGCAGGCACACAGCACAGGGCTGCTACAGCTAGCAATTGAAAAACTTACCACACCAAGGTTATATATAACCAAGAGTACCATACAGAACTTATATCAGCCCCCTACCAACTTAAAATTAGAAGAAATTGTCTGCCCAAATGGAAAAGGAACCAGCAAAATAATTCTGATGATTTGAAAAAACAGTTCTCCAACACCACTAAAAGACTACACCAACTCTTCAGCAACAAACCCTAACCAAAATGAAATTTTAAAAATTCCAGACATAAGATTGATTATAAAATTGGTCAATGAACTTTGGAGAAAATTGAAAACCAACATAAAGAAATTTAAAAAACTATTCAGGACATGAATGAACAATTCTCCAAAGTGATAGACACCTTAAAAAAAAAAAACCAAGCTGAAATTCCAGAAATGAAAAAAGTATTTAGGGAAGTACAAAATGCAGTGGAAAATTTAACAGTAGACTAGAACAAGTCAAAGAAAAGAACGCAAAACTTGAAGACAAAGCTTTTGAATTAACCCAAGCAGACAACAATAAAGACAAAAGAATCAAGAGAATGGAACAAAGCCTCCAAGAAATGTAGGATTATGTAAAAATGTCCAAACCTAAGAATTATAGGTCTTCCTGAGGAAGAAGAGAAAGTAACAGGTTTGGAAAACCTATTTGAGAAAACAGTAGAGGAAAACTTCCCTGATCTTGCTAGAGATCTAAACATCCAGATACAAGAAGCCTAAAGAACCCCCAGAAGATTCACTACAAAGCCATCATCCCCAAGGCATATAATCATTCAGCTATGAAAAGTTAAAGTGAAGGAAAAAATTTTAAGAGAAGTGAGACAAAAGCATCAAATAACTTACAAATAAACCTATCAGACTAACAGAAGGCGTCTCAGAAGAAACCCTACAAGCTAGAAGGGATTTGAGTCCAATCTTCAATCTCCTCAAACAGAATAACTGTCAGTCAAGGATTTTGTATCCTGCAAAACTAAGTGCCATAAATGAAGGAGAAATGAAGTGTTTCACAGAGAAGCAAACGCTGAGGGAATTTGTCACCACTAGGTCGACTCTACAAGAAATATTCAAAGGAGCTCTAAAAGGTCAAAATACACCAGTAGAAAAATGCTGGAAATCATAAAGTTCACAGGCTTTATGGATCGCCAACACAATAGAGAAAAGAAAGAAAGAAGCCAGATAACAACCAGTATGATGAACAGAATAGTGCCTTACATATCATTAAATCTCAATGTAAATGGTTGCAATGCCCTCCTAAAAAGATGTAGACTGGCAGAATGGGAAAAAAAAAAACCACAACCCAAATATCTGATGCCTTCGAGAGACTCACCTAACACACAAAGACTCATGTAGACTCAAGGTAAAGAGCTGGGGAAAAAATTCCATGCAAATAGAAACCAAAAACAAGCAGGAGTAACCATTCTCATATCAGAGAAAAACAGACTTTAAATTAAAAAACTAAAAACAAAAAAATATGGGTTATTATATAATAAGAAAGGAATCAATCCTATGAGAAGACATAGCAATTTTAAATATACATCTTAACACCAGAACCTACAGCTTTATAAAACAAAATCTACTAGACCTAAAAAAAGAGATAGAAGCAATACAATAATAGTGGGAATATTTAACACTCCACTGACAGCACTAGACAGATCATCAAGGCAGAACGTCAACAAAGAAACATTGGAGTTAAACAGTACTCTAGAGGAAATGGAACTAACAGACATCTACAAAACATCCCATTCCAAAACTATAGAATATACATTCTTCTCATCAGCACATGAAATATTCTCCAAGATTAACCATATGCTAGGCCACAAATTAAGTCTCAATGATTGCAAAACAATTGAAATCATAACAACTGCAATCATATCAAGCACCTTCTCAGACCACAATGGAATAAAAGTAGAACTAACTCCAAGAAGAATTCATGAAACCAACAAAAACATGAAAGTTAAACAATTTGCTCCCAAATGATCCCTGGGTCAGCAACAAAATCAAGATGGTAATTTAAAAATTTCTTAAAATGAATGACAGCAATGAAACAAATTATCAAAACCTGTGGGGCAGACAAAACTGTGCTCAGAGGAAAATTTATAGCACTTAAGGCCTACATTAATAAGACTGAAAGATCACATATCAACAACCTACATCATATCTCAAGGAACTAGAAAAACACAAACAAATCAAAATCAAAGCTAACAGAAGAAAAGAAATAATAAAGATCAAAGAAGAATGAAATGAAATTGAAACTAAAACAAATACAAAGGATCAATGAAACAAAACGTTAGTTATTTGAAAAGATAAGCAAAATTGATAGACCACTAGCTAGATTAATTAATAAACAAAGAAAGAGAACTCAAATTAGCTTAACCAGAAATAAAAAAGGAGACTTTACAACTGAGATGACAGAAATTCAAAAGATCATCTGATGGCTCAGCCTGTAATTCCAGTACTTTGGGAGGCCAAGGTGAGTGGATTGCCTGAGTCCACAGGTTCGAGACCCACCCGGACAAATTGGTGAGACCTCATTTCTACAATAAATAAAAAACACGCTGGGTGTGGTGGCACATACCTATAGTTCTGGCTACTTGGAAGGCTGAGGCAGAGAGATTGCTGGAGTCCAGCAGGTTGATGCTGGGGTGGCCATGAGTGTGCCACTGCATTTCAGCCTGGGTGACAGAGTGAGACTCTGACTCAAAAAAAAAAAAAAAAAAAAAATCATCTGAGACTATTATGAACACCTCTATGTAAACAAACTAGACAATCTAGAGGAAATGGATAAATTCTGGGAAACATACAACCCACCAACTTTGAATCAGGATTATATAGAAACCCTAAACAGACCAATAATGAGTAGCAAGATTGAAACAGTAAATAGAAGTCTCCCAACAAAAAATGTCCAAGACCTGATGGACTCACAGTTGAACTCTACCAGATCATTAAAGAAGAATTGGTACCAATTTTACTGAAGCTATTCCATAAAATTGAAGAGGAGGGAATCCTCCCTAACATTCTACAACACCAGTATCACTCTGATACCAAAGCCTGGAAAAAACATAGCAACAACAAAAAAAGAAAACTACAGACCAATATACCTTACGAATAACACAGAAGCAAAAATCTTCAGCAAAATATATTAGCAAACTTAATTCAATAGCACATAATAATAATAATAATAATAATAATAATAATACAGCACAACCAAGTGGGTTTTCTCCTAGGGATGCAAGAGTGGTTCAACATAACATGTCAATTAACATGATCCACTACATAAACAGAATTAAAAATAAAAATCACATGATAATTTTAATAGATGCAGAAAAAGCATTTGATAAAATCCAGCATTGCTTCATGATAAAAAACCCTTATAAAAATAGGCATAGAGGGAATATCTCTAGAAAAAAATAAAAATTATATATCACAAACCCACAGCCAATAACATCCTGAATGGAGAAAAGTTGAACACATTTCCCCTCAAAACTGGAATATGGAAAGGATGCCCAATTTCACCCCTACTATTTAACATAGTACAGGAAGTCCTAGCCAGAGCAATAAGATAAGAAAAAGAAACAAAGGGTATCCAAATTAGAAAAAAAGAAATCAAACTATCTCTGTATGTCAATGATATGATCTTATACCTTGACAATCCTAAAGACTCCTCCAAAAGACTCCTGCACTTGATAAATGAATTCAGAAAGTTTCAGGATACAAAATCCACACACACACACAAATCAGTATCACTGCTCTATACCAATAGTGACCAAGCTGAGAATCAAATCAATAACTCAATTCCATTTACAATAGCAGCCAAAAATCTAAAACATCTAGGAATATATTTAACCAAGGAGGTGAAAAATCTCTATAAGGAGAACTACAAAACACTAATAAAAGAAGTTACAGAAGACACAAACAAATAGAGAAACATCCCATGCTCATGGACCGGAATAATTAACATTATTAAAATGACTATATTACCCAAAGTAATCTACAGATCAACACAATCCCTGTCAAACTACAAACTACCAGTGTAATTTTTCTCAGAATTAGGAAAAACAATTCTAAAATTCATATGGAATAAAAAAAGAGCCAGGATAGCCAAAACAATCTTAAGCAAAAAGAACAAAGCTGGAGGCACCACATTACCTGAATTCAAATTATACTACAAGGTTGTAGTAACCAAAACAGCATGGTACAGGTACAAGAGCAGACACATGGACCAATGAAACAGAATAGAGAATCCAGAAATAAATCCAAATACCTACGAACACTGATCTTCAACAAAGTAGACAAAAACAAACATACACTGGGAAAAGGATACCCTATTCAACAAATGGTACTGGGAAAATTAGGAACCTACATGCAGAAAAATGAAACTTGTTCCCTATCCCCCTCCATATACAAATATTAACTCAATATGGATTAAAGACTTAAATGTCAGACCTGAACCCATAAAAATCCTAGAAGAAAACCTAGGAAAACTCTTATGGACATCAGCCTAGGCAAGTAGTTTATGGCAAAAACACCAAAAACGATGCAAAAAAACAAAAATAAATAAGTGGGACTTAAACTAAAAAGCTTCTGCACAGCAAAAGAAATAATCAACAGAGCAAATAGGCAATCTACAGAACGGGGGAAGATATTTGCAAACTATACATGTGAAAAAGGACTAATATCCAGAATCTGCAAAGAACTTAGCAAGAAAAAAAGCAAATAAACCTCCTTATTAAGTGGGCAAACAATGTGAATAGATATATCTCAAAAGAAGGTATGCAAATTGCCACAAATATATGAAAAAACGTTCAACATCACTCATAATCAGGGAAATGCAAATTAAAACCACAATGAGATACCACCTTACATCAATTGGAATTGCCATCATTAAAAAAAAATCAGAAAACAATAGATGCTGGCATGGATGCAGAGAAAAGGAAACACACGCAGCTGGTGGGAATGTAAATTAGTACAACCTCTGTGGAAGGCGGTAATGGAGATCACTCAAAGAACTAAGAATAGATCTAACATTTGATCTAGCAATCCCACTACTAAGTGTCTACCCTAAAAAGCAGAGGTCATTTTATAAAGAAGACAACTACACCTGCATGTTTATTGCAGCACAATTCACTATTGCAAAGATGTGGAATAAACCGAAATGCCCATCAACCTACCAGTAGATAATGAAAATGTGGCATATATACACCACAGAATATTACACAGCTATAAAAAAAGAATAAAATTGTGTCCTTTGCAGCAATGTAGATGGAGCTGGAGATCATTATCCTAAGTAAATTGACTCAGAAACAGAAAACCAAACACCACATGTTCTCACTCACATGTGGGAGCTAAGCAATCACAAAGATGGAAATAACTGACACTGGGGACACCAGTGAGGGGGAAGGGAGAAGTAGGATTAGGGTTCAGAGACTGCCCTATGGGGCACAATGTTCACTATCTGGGGAATGGACCACCTGAGACCCAATCCCCATCACTACACAATATGTCCATTGGTCTATTAGTGTACCTCCTAAATCTAAATTTAAAAAAAAATAATAAATAAACAGGTATTCAGATTGTTCCTACTCACTGGTCCTCTCTACTTTAAGGTCACAGTGGAGTCTGTTGTCACAGCTTCTGAGTCCAGGGAACCAGGTCAGGGGACTGCAGGCAGGCACCAGGCAGCTGCAGCTCTTGGGATCCCACCCGATCCACTGGGCTGCAGTAGCAGGACCCGATTGGATGTGGCAAAAGGAAGATAGTATCTCTCAATAGAAATGGGGTCACCAGTGGCACTGGGCCAAAGTGGTGGGGACACCCAGGGGAGATCTCTCTGGGCAAAGAGCAGATAATCGGGGCTGTGGGTCTCTAGCTGACTCCTCCCCAATGGTCCTTGCAACTCTGACCTGGAGGGTGCAGAAACAGCTATTCTGGGGTTCCTCATGCCAACTGTGCTCTCACACCCCTTTGCTCACTCACCAACTGAAACAGCAACTATTTTGAGTTTTTAAAAAATGTACACATAAAACTTTGACTTAAAAAGTAAAGATGTTTTTAAAAGTAAATAAAAGGCCAGGCTCGGTGGCTCAGCCTGTAATCCCAGCACTTTGGGAGGCCGAGGCGAGTGGATTGCCTGAGACCGCGGGTTCAAGACCCACCTGGGCAACTTGACGAGACCTTGTCTCTACAATAAATCAAAAAATTAACCGGGCGTGATAGCGCGCGCCTGTAATTCCGGCTACTCGGAAGGCTGAGGTAGAAGCATCGCGGGAGCGCAGCAGGTCGAGGCTGAGGTGGCTGGGATCGTGCCACTACCCTCCAGTCTGGGCGACAGAGTGACTCCAACTCAAAATAAATAAATAAATATTTTAAAAATGTAAATGAAAAATATTAAAAACCAACAAAAATTCCACCTAGAGAAGGTAAATGGAGCTGAGTGATTCAGGAAAGACCCAGGGATAGAGGAGCAGGGAGTTCGATGAGGGGGAGGGGAGGAGGGAGGGGATTTGAGAGCAGAGCAGGTGGAAAAGGGATACAAGAGGGGGCAGGCGGGAGGGTCTTGACTCTGCACTCTTACAGCCAGGCACTGTACCAGGCTGGTTAGGGAGAAATAGAGCTAAACCTTCGGGGGGGGGGGGCCGGGGGGGCGGAAACAAACTTCAGGAAAGGGAAGAAGGTGAACATGTATTGAGGACGTGCTGTGTCCTGATTACTTTCACGTGATCTCATTGAATGATCACAGAGGATGCCGGCAGCCATGTTCTTTCCCTGTGGACAAACATGGGTGTGTGAACCCCACCCACAGACACCCAGATGCCCTTTTCAGAGCAAAGAGGAGCAACAGACAGAGGGTCTCCTGAGAGCCTGAGTTCTCCATTCAGATCCGAGTTCTCAAGGCTACTCCAGTATCTTTGCCTCAAATCTTTATTGTGGCCGCTGGCGGTGGCTCACACCTGTAATCCCAACACTTTGGGACGCCGAAGCGGGTGGATTACTTGAGCTCAGGGGTTCGCGACCAGCCTGGACAATACAGCAGAACTTTGTCTTAATAAATAAACACACAAGCAAGCCGGGCGTGGTGGTGCGTCCCAGTTACACTGCACTCCACAATGGGCGGCAGAGTAAGACTCCGACTCAAAAAAAATTAAAAAATTGTGGCAAAAGCTCCTAGCAACTGTGTTTCTATCACTTGCAACGTAAAGAGTTCAGACTGAAACCCCTCTCGCCTCTTTTATCGCCTCCACAACGACCTGATTCAGCAAGTGCGCGGACAGCGCGTTTCCTGTAGTTCACCACTTAAAACTTCACGGGTAGAGCGCGATGATTAGCGCTTGGAGCGCGATGAACAGCACCTTGACCCAGAGGCGAGTGCCCACGCCCAGCAGAGCGTCCAGGCCCAGTCCCGGGGGCTGCGGGCTGCTGATCTCCCTCCCACTCTACTGGTTTTATTCCCGCTCCCGCAGCTGCGCTCCCTCGCTCTCACCGCCCCTAGCCTGGCTGAGCACGTGGTAGCGCAGGGCATTGCCTGTCATGCACCAAGTAAACATTAACGCGTATAGCGCAAAGATGATGAGCACGTGGAACGCAATGATCAACGCCTTGGCCCTGCTGGCCAAACACTTTTTATCACAGGTTTTCTGAGCAGCAGGACCGCGCCTTCAGCCGCAAGTGCAAGGGCAGCGCATTTTTTGTGGCGCACCACGTAAAAATACAATGGAAGGGGGCCAAGATTAGCGCGCAGAGCGCAACGATCAGCGCCTTGGCTCAGAGACGAGTGTCCACGCCCCGCCGAGCCGCAGGGGCCGCGGTGTACCCTCATCTCCATTCGGCTACCGCGGCTGCGCTTCTTCGCTCTCACTGCCAGGAACCTGGCTGAGCACGTGGTAACGCAGTCGCCCTGCATGCCTGGACGGTGCCTTCAGCACTACAAGCACGGACAGCGCATTGCCTGTTGTGCACTGCGAAAAAATTCGCGCGTGGAGCGCAAAGATTAGCGCGTAGAGCGCAACGTTCGGCGTCTTGGCCCAGAGGCGAGTGTCCACGCCAAGCAGGGCGTCCAGGCTCAGCCACGGGCTAGGGCTGGGCCGCGGGGTCGCGGGCTGCTAGTCTCCATCCCGCTCCCGCGACTTTTATTCCTCCCTCTCATTGCCCTGATCCTGGGGGAGCCACCTGGCTAGCGAGCGCGTCTGCTCCCTGGGAACCTCCAGAACCAGGGGGACACGGCCCCTAAAGGGTGTCCTTGAGCCAACGCGGGACCGCAAGTGCAAGCCCGTTAGCGACGGTCACACTTCTCGGTCAGTTCGACCCAGGGAAATACGTGCCGGGGGGAAAGTGGGCTCCTTTGGGGGCTGATAGTCGTAAGTTGGACCGGACTCCTCCCCGCACCCTCCCCCCGCCCCAACTTACCAGCTTTGTGACCTTAGGCAAGTTTTTTGTTTTTGTTTTACCTCTCTGAAGCTAGTTTTGCAACTTCAAATTATTACTTACCTACATTGCAGAATATTTGTGAAGATTAAACGAGCAAATCTGTGTGAAAATTCCTGCCTGCCGCATAAAAAGACACGGAGATTTCGTCTTGCACTTTGGCCTGTGTGTAGCTGGTTTTTGTGTGTGCAGTCCCAGAGATGGCTCGGGAAAGAGTTTGCCAGTATTTCGACATGTTGTGAATGTTTGCGTTCTCGCTATAGGGCTGTTTCAATGCTGCACTAATAACTGCCTCAAGGAACTCCTTTGCTACTGACAGATACATCCTGATGGCATCTTGCTTTCTGGGTCCTTTGAGAATATCATTCTCACAGAGCAGTGGAAAGTGAGAAGAGTGCTTCACCTATTTTAAAATCTTTCACTGATCTCCCTCCTAAATTCATGCTGAACATCAAAAGTTTGAAACTTTCTTTTCTCATCTTGAGAACCCCTGACCTTTATTGGAGACAAAATTGAAATTAGGACCCAGGTAAATTGACATTTTTGTCTTCAGCAAGGTTGTTATGTCCCAGTGATAATTCATTCAATATTCCATTGAATAGGTAACCATACCCATATTGAAATTGAGATTGTGTAAGTTTACTTTTATTCTGCACAATAGCTTTATTGAGATTAAACATATTTATTGAATTATAAGAATTGCTAACAACCAGGACTGGATCCCTGGGTGTGTGACCTGTGTGACTGCACAGGACCCCAGGCTTAAAAGGGCCCTGCTCAGAGTTTAATGCTCTGTTGCTGTCATCTGGGAATCCTTCATAATTTTTGAACAAGGGGTCCTGCAACTTCATTTTGTATGGGACCCTGCAAATTGCATAGCCAATTATTCTAACTACAATGAGAATATTCCACAAGGAGAGGAAATTGAGCAGAAGTAGCTAGACATGTTCTTGAATATTTTGCAATTAAAGAACCAACTGAATGAAAGAGGGCTTTCTTTGTCATAATTTGTGATTTTTAATTGTTTATATCTCTTTCTTAAATGGTATTTTGAAGTTTTAATTTTGAAAGAAGAGTCATGGCCACTTAATTTCTTGCGATCTCAAGGAAGTTAAGAGATGAATTAAGACACTAAAACAAAAGGAGAGATGATGTAATTCCAGAACAGTGAAGAGGCTTGGTGCCACACAATGATTGTTTCCCTTAAATCATCACTTAGAATAATTTTACCCTGTATCTCACAGGTTTAAAAGCTTTTAATGAATTAATAAACTGCTATAGATCTAGCAATTCTTTCTATATGGAAGTCTCAGGACACGGTGTGAGTCTACCTTGCTCTGTCCCCTTTTCAGCTCCAATGTGGTCCACTCGATAAGGCTTGAGAAGAAGAAGGGGAGGCCTGAGTGGCAGCAGAGGGGTTCAGGGTACAATATATAATGACCTGGGTCAATAAATTATTTCAGAATTCAATATCAAGCCTTATATGTTATTCTTATCTACTTCCTCTTTTCTGTTTGTATGAGCAGTGGAGTTTCTTCTTTTGTTTTTGTGTCAGTAACTTGAAATCAGATGATATTTACTCTGGTATCATAAAGGTTAACACCTAAGCATTTTCTTTTACATGCATCAATCCCTTCTGCTGCAATGGTTGTCTCCAAGAAAAGCACTTGTGCCTTTGAGTTACAAGATGAATTAGCTGTTTTTTCTTGGAGTACGGTTTTAACCTGAAAGTATGACTAACAAACTATGGTCATTTAGACCTGGATATTTGGCAGATATTTTTCTCAAAAATGAATGAAGTAAGCCTAGCACTTGGGGGAAAACACTAGAAAGTATCTTGGTAAGTAAATATATGTGAGTTTTCAAAATTCGAGTTTTCAAAAATATTTGAGTTTTCAAAAAGAAATGAGAATTTTGTCCCATTGTGTCTGCCACCATGAACTCGACTGTTCTCCAATAAAGACTTTTCTAATAATATCAGTGGTGACATTAAAGAATGTGATTGTTGGCCAGGTTCAGTGGCTCAGCCTGTAATCCCAGCACTATGGGAGGCTGAGGTGAGTGGATTCCTGAGCCCGTGGGTTTGAGACCTTGTCTCTACAATAAATAAAAAATTAGCTGGGTGTGGTAGAGTGCACCTGCAGTTCCAGCTACTTGGAAGGCTGAGGCGGAAGGATCGCCGGAGCCCAGCAGGTCGAGGCTGAAGTGGCCATGAGTGTGCCACTGCACTCTAACCTGGGCATCAAAGTGAGACTCCAACTCAAAAAAAAAAAAAGAATGTAATTGTTGTATAATGTATGTGGAGATGTATCAACAGTTGGAAGACCTGCATAACTACATGAGTCAAATAAACAAAGCACAATGTTATAAAATTGTGTATGAGTAAAAGATGTACTCAAAATGAAAAGTACACCAACAAATTTTCATGTAACCGATTATGAAAAATGCATTGAGATAGTTTCAGTTTCCATATTATAACAACCTTTAAGAATTCACTACTTGTCAAATTTGGCATCATATTAAAGAAAAACATCCACAAGTATCTGAAAGATTATAAAAATACTGCTCATCTTTTCCAATGACATATCGGTGTGAAACTGAATTTTCTTTATATACGTCAACCAAAGCAAAAATCTCAGAACAGACTGAACACAGAAACAGAGGATCAACTGTCTTCAGTTTATAGCCAGACATTAATGACGTCTGCAAAAATGTGAAACAATATAAACAATACTTTTTTATAAACTTGAAAACGTGTTTTTTAAAAATAAAAATGCTTTATGTTACATGCAACATATTTATTGTTTGTTATTTTAAATGAATTTAAAATACATATTTTTAAAATTTCTCAGTTTTAATTTTGAAAAGTATAACATTTTCATATCAGGACCCCTTTACATTCTCAGAAATTACTTAGGACCCCAAATAATGATTGTTTGTATGGGTTATATCTATCAATATTTATATATATCAATATCTATCAGTATTAGAAATTAAAACTGATATACAATTAAATATTTTTTCTCATTCTATGGATTGTCTCCCTGCTCTCTTGATGATTTCTTTTGCTATGCAAAATCTTTTCAGTTTGATGAGGTCCCACTTGTCTGTTATTATTTATGGCATATGCTTTTGGGGATTTGATTAGGAATTAGTTGCCTACTCCAATGTGCTTAAGAGTGGGCTTCCCTTATTTTCTTCTAGGATTCTTATAGTCTGAGGGTTTACATTTAGGTCTTTGATCCATTTAGTGCTGATTTTTGTATATGGTGATAGGTAGGGATTCTGTTTCATTCTTCTGCATGTGGTCAGCCAGTTTTCCCAGCGCCATTTGCTAAATAAGGTCTCCTCTCCCCAGTGGTTGTTACTGATGGAAAATGTGATACATATACATGATGGAATAGTGTGCAACCATAAAGAAAGACAAAATTATAGACTTCACAGCAAGTTGGATGGACTTGGAGATCTATACTTAGTGATCTGTCACAGAAACCAAAAACCAAATGCCACGTGTTCTCACTCATAAGTGGGACCCGAACATTAATCACAGTAGCGCTAGGGAGGGATTGGCAGTCACAGGACACTGCCAGGGGAGGAGGAGGCATGTAACAACACAAAGTGTACCTGGTCCTAAACTAGGGGAAATGAGGACCAGTTAGAGGCCCAAACATCACCTGCATGTACATTCCTTATGTACCTAAACTTGACTCAGTTACATTCCCACATCTCTCTAATAAAATAAAAAAGAAAAACTAAAAAAAAATTAAATAAAACTGAAAACTAAAACTGAAAAAAAAAGCCATGGGATTAAGTTTAAGTTTCCATCAAGTTTAAGGATTCCAGATGAATATTAAACAACTTTTTTGAAGCAAATAACCAGTGTCAATACATTTTGTAACTTTTAAATGGGTTTTGTGTATAGCTCAGTAAGGTCTATAGGAAAAAGGCAGATTTCTGCTTCCCTTTGGAAGAATTCTTCAAGTACTTAGTCTCCCAAACACTAGGCTGGTATAGCAGAGAGGACACTGGGCTTGTAATCAGAAAAAGTGGAGGCAAGTCTCAGTTCTGCTCAGTTCTTGTGTCTTGGGCAAGCTAGACAGCTTCTCTTAGTCTTTGTTTATTCATCTGAAAAGCAAGGGTGATAACAATACTATCTGTTTTTCTTTTTGTTTTTAGTTTTAGAGTTGAGATGTCACTCTATCACCCAAGCTAGAGTGCAGTGGCACGATCATGGTTCAACATAGACTTGACCTTCTGGGCTTCGGCAATCCTCCCATTCTCAGCCTCCAAAGTACCTGAGACTACAGGTGTGCACCACTACACCTGGCTGATTTTTTGATTTATTATTATTATTATTATTTTGTCAAGACAAGATCTTGCTATGTTGCCCAGGCTGGTCTCCCATTCCTGGGCTCAAGTAATCCTCCTACCTTGGCCTCCCAAAGTGCTGGGATTACATGTGTGTGACACCACACCCTACTTTTCTGTTTTTCTTATCTCATTGGGTTAGAGCACTGAGCAGATAGGAATCATAGAGACCGCAGTCCCTAAGCTGTCACTTCAGGGAGTTAAACCTTAAACTTCTATGCAGCAGGGGAGCCCAAAGATACAAGGGACAGTCTTTGGTCTTTCATGTATGGCACTATTGTGGGCTGGTTCTGTTTTCCAGGAGAATGTATCAGAGATGTG